TTATCTGTAGGCGGACTTACCTGGTGGCAGGACTTAACTGTGAGATTTCAGGGTAGTCGCCACGGGTTTGACTGCGGTTTTTACGCTCACATGAGTATAAGACACTTCATACAAAAAGGCATCACCTCAAGGCTCAGCTCGTCACTTCTAGGGACTGAATACTATCATACATAAGCAGAAAAACCATTGAAGTAGAAATGAAAAGCAAGAAACTGCGGTTACAGAGTGCGTGCATGTCGCGCGATCGCGCCATCGTCACGACTTTTCGAATGCCCTATACTTCCGATCACATGTACAGACTGCCCCAATCCTAAACAGACCAAGATTGGCATGGCGGGAGTCCGCATCGCTAGGGTTTAGCGTCACGGCTACACTGCTTGTCTGCCGCCTCTTCAGTCTCTTCGCTCTATTCGACAGTACGCATTGGCAGAACCCCTAGCGCTGCGAGCCCACAATCCACTCCAACGGCGGCCTGATCCCGATTGGGGCAGACTGCACTCTGGAAGGCACGCTTACACGCACCTTTTGTAAAATATTTCGTCTTGCGAAGGAGTTTATTGAATGGAATAGTTGGATATGGCGAATGTCAGCTAGCATTAATTGAAATCGGAAATTGTTAATGAGCTTCTTTTTGGATCTCATCCCTTTATGTAAGGTTTACAGTAGCGCGTAAATTTCCGTGTAAGAAGTTTCTAATTCCGCTATGGTCTCAGGTGCTTGCCATTAGACTGCAAACGTATTTTTTCTTCTTTCTTCTCCATCAGCTCATAGATGAAGTACCATCCCTGGTGCATCTCAGAAGGAGAAATAGCTTCTCTCTGTGCTTACTCTTTCCACTGATCGTTTCAGTTTTATCTAGGTAGCTGAAAACCGACTACGAAATGGCTTTGCCTGTATCCGCCCACCAGGTCATCACTCCGAGAGGGACCAAGTTTGTTTATCCACATGTCTATCTTTCTCACTTATGAATGCTTCTTATTTTGTAGGCTATGGGCTTTTGTTTTTTCAACAATGTCGCTATCACTGCGCGTTATCTTCAGAACAAATATCCGCAGCAGTGCGCACGAATTGCAATTATCGACTGGGTTTGTTGAAAACGCATGATTTCAGTAAGAATAATTGCACTAATTAAGGACGTCCACCATGGGAACGGAACGCAGCTCTGTTTTGAAGAAGATCCTAATGTTTTATACTTGTCACTTCATCGTCATGACAACGGGAACTTCTTTCCTGGAACGGGAGCTGTTACCGAAATCGGACGTGGAGCTGGCAAGGTTTGCGCAGATCTCGTCAGCTTGGTTCTAGCTTACCGCGCTCAGATCTTGCATTCCAGGGCTTCTCAGTCAATGTGCCCTTTTCTGGAGGCGTCATGAGAGATGCTGATTATCTAGCTGCTTGGAGGGTAATTGTTCAGCCTATTCTAGAGCAATTCCAGCCAACTTTCATATTAGTATCAGCGGGCTTTGATGCATGTTGCGGTCATCCAAATGCTCTTGGCGGGTACGATACTGTTGTCTGAGGCGATAGATCATTGTTTC